TCTCCTTTAATGGCTCAAAGAACAACTCACGTCAACACTTACCACCTAGGCTGAGCATTGCCTTAGTAAATGGAATTTGTTGTATGAATATAACAATAAAATTGCTCATCGAAGAGTAGAGGGCAGCTCTTCGGGTAGGCAGTGTGAGCTCAAGGCCACTCGGCCTCCAAGAAAGAGATTTTTCCAGCTTGCCAATTTATCAAGTCAATTTGTGGGTCAATTTTTAATTACAATTCTCAATTATTAGGAAATGTTTCTTGGTATCATCTTGAAGTACTCCTCGCATATTTCGTAACACGCCTTTCAATTTGCATAATCGCTAAACAATGAGGTCGCAAAAGCGAGTTAAAATTGTTGCACGAAATGAGTTTTGTATACCTAATTCGTGGTCCTCGCATTTTTTACTTATTTTTCAGGCTATAATTCTCGGTTGCCAAGATAAGTTCTTGATATCGTGTCGAAGAACATGCGATGCATATTTAGAAATGAAGAACTCCTTAAAAAGCGAAGGTAAAATAATTAGTTAAAGAACTCTATTAAAGTAAATGTATTATATCAATAATGCAAGTTTAAGGTAATGTTCACCATGCCTCCATTTTCTTTTCGTTTTTCTCGTACCGTCAAAATTCTTTTCAAAAGTGGGGCTCGAATTGGGTCGCGGGTGTTGATAGACAATGGTTTCGGTGGTCAGACCTTCGTCTATAGCCTCGACAATATTTTGATCTTCAATCTCTAGAAAATAATAATTTGGTCTTAAAATTTTTATTGAAGTTGTATAATTAGCCCTAATGATGAAACAGTCAAAATCTTCGATAAATGACTGGCTAACTATCTTGAAATCAAGTCCTGAAGGCTGAAGCAAACTATAATTTCAACTATTGATAAAAGTTAAGAATTAAATTGATGCTAGAGTAATAAATTGGGGACCCGTCGTGCAATCTTTCCCTATTAAAAATTCATTTACTTGAGCACACAACAATACACACACACATATATATGACCAATATATATACGTGTATGTAGAGAGAGAAAATGGCGTGAGAGAGTCTGTTGCTTTCCTCCTTTAATGGCGTGAGATCGTACCAGACCAGATAGTGTATGCTTGTTCATTTTGGCATGCTTCGCAAACTCTTATTCTTAGAAAACCCAAAACCCAAATGAACTAAAAGGAAAGGGAAAAAAAGTATTTTTAAACAAAATGAAGTGCTTTTGAAATTTCACCATCACAATCCCATTCCCACCTCGTCTTTCCGTTTTTATCAACTGCACTTTTGGAATTCTTAGACCCAGATGATAAAAAGCGGTAATCTCTCATTTATTTTTTATTGGGTTCTTTACTCTTGATCATTTCCTCTTGTCGGTCTTTTGATACTTGTATTGTTTCGTTGTGAAATCTCGTGTTGTATATTTGGTGTTGTTATTTGTGTTTGCTATTTTTGTTGTGTTTTTATGTATGAGGGCGTGAAGATCGATATGAAAAGTGTAGGAAACATGAATGATGATGAACTTGAGATGTTACTGGGCGAGATCCCTCATGCAACATCATCATCGAATCTTCATCATACACATAGCAATGTCCATCATCATAGTCTTGTTGATCATACATCACACATGACACAGAAAATGAATGTTCATGGTATATATGATGATGAACTGTTGAGGCATAAATATGCATGTGCATCTTCCCCTGCCAGTGGGTTCTCATTACAATCTGACGGCTCTTCCTCAAGCTTGTTCTCTGGTGGGCGTTCGTTTTCTGACAATGGATCGCCAACTACACCCCAATTTGGAGAACTGAAGCCCCACCTGGTTTCTGGCAGTGGATTCTGGTTAGATTTCAACAAGGCGAATAAAGTTAATACAGTTGATGGATGGAGTTTATCGAGCAATTTTAGTAAAATGTACATTAGTAATGAGCAAGAAGATGGTTCAGTGTCCCCAATTGGTTTTCAATCTCGTGATCAGTCTGTGGATGGGTTTAATGCCTATAGAAGGGACTTTTCGGAATATAGAGGATTTAATGCCTCTGTTCCAAGAAATCCTAAGAATTTTGATGGTGAGATGGTATCTTCATTGATGGCAATGCCGCCTGTCTTTAAAATGGATAATTTATTTGGATCCCGGTATTCTCCTGGTGCATCTGAAGGATTATTTGCTCAAACAGATTGTAGTAATTCAAGTCCTCAATTTTATAATAATGCACAGGCTGGAAATTATTTTCCGATGGGAATTTCAACATCAAAGCCATCTTCCACTTTAAAAAGGCCTTCATTTGTTGATTCTTCGTATTATGCTTCACAAAATGGGACGAATCTGATCCAAGACAGAGATCAATTTCATTCACCCTACATGCTTCAATTGGCTCAGCTAACTCCTCAATTTAATGTGGAAAATTTACTCCATTGTCAGCAACCCATGCCTAATGGAAGAAATAGATTACCTTCATGTGTTAGAGTGCCTCAAGGGGGTGTTGAAGTCTTTGCCGGAGAGGACAGTTTAATCCTTCAAGGGGACGGTTTAAATAATGCAATTAACATAGGATGTGGTCGTCCCAAAGTACAAAATACTATGGGTTTCATGCATGGGAGTGGCACCGGTAAGGCTCGAGAAATCGCTGGTGTTCAAGAAAGTGGCTTGACTGCAAAAATACATTGCCCCTTCTCCTTTCCATCAAAGTGTTGCTCTCTGACAGAAGCTCAAGGACATATATATCACATAGCGAAAGATCAGCATGGTTGCCGATTTTTGCAACGGATATTTGATGAAGGGACTCCTCGAGATGTACAGATAATATTTAGTGAGATAGTTGATCATGCAGCTGAACTCATGACAAATCCATTTGGGAATTACCTTATGCAAAAACTGTTGGATGTGTGCAATGAAGAACAAAGTACTCAGATTCTTCTTAGGGTGACAGAGGTACCAGGGGATCTTGTTAGGATCTCTCTGAATACACATGGGTAAGTGGCTCACATTTTGCTTTGCTCTCATCATTCCTCATGTTGAGTAACCATTTTATTCTTTTTTGTATCAGCACTCGAGTGGTCCAAAAGTTGATTGAGACACTCAAAACAAGGCAACAAATTTCGCTAGTTATTTCAGCCCTTGAGCCAGGCTTTCTTGTCCTCATTAAAGACCTAAATGGTAATCATGTTGTTCAGCGATGCTTGCAATGTTTTACCAATGACGATAGCAAGGTATATGCTTTTCTTGATATGTCATATAGCCACGTCTCTCAACTTTCTGGTACATGTCCTGATCATATGTTCATAACTAAACTTTGTGTCTAGATTGAGCATATCTCCATTGTGATTTGTAGGCGTGCAGTTCATTTCCATTCATCTTTTGTGTTCATTTCTGTCATTTGTATGTTTGTAGGTTGAATTTAAAATATTAAAGTGGAAGTTGTTGGAATAAATTTCATCTTGCATTACAATTCAATATCCGTGAGGTTTTCGATACAAAGAACGAATATGGTTGATATGGTTCATCTTGTAGTTGTGGTTATCCACTTGCTATGTCTCTCCTATCTTCTCGAATAAATTTCATCTTGCATTACGATTCAATATCCGTGAGGTTTTCGATACAAAGAACGAATATGGTTGATATGGTTCATCTTGTAGTTGTGGTTATCCACTTGCTATGTCTCTCCTATCTTCTCTCATTCCAAAATTGACACAGCCTTGACGTTTCCCTGGAATTTTCTCACTTTAGAGGTGAAAAATTTAGAAACGTAGCTTACATTGTTTTAAGTTAAGAAAGAAAAAAAGGCTTAGTTCATTTTGAATGAAATACAGCAGATGGTTAATTGTCATCCTCAACTCTCAAACTAAGATAGGTCTTATATTTGTTTCTAATGAAATCCCCAATTGATTGAGGGAAGTTTGATTTTGATTCTAGTTACCATGGGAAAAATAGTATGATTGTTAGAAATTGTATGTATTCCTTTTGTATTATAAATAGAACTCTTTCATTGTACATTGTATGTGAGGAAAATAATAAAAGATATTTTTCCTAGTCTCGTTGTTCATCTTCTACATGGTATCGGGGCAAGGAAAGAAACTGCAGCCCATAACAGGGGTTCAATGACCTCTGAATCGTTTCACGGTGACACAGAAGCCACCTCTGCCATAAGTAGAGGAATTGAAAATTTTTCATTCCAACTCACGATAGAAAAACTGGACGGAAAGAATTACAGGGAGTTGGCGTCGTCTATCAAATTGATAGTGGATGGAAAAGGGAAACTTGGATATCTCACAGGAGAGACGAAAATGCCAGCCTCAACCAACATTGTTCTTCTTCGAAAATGGTGATCAGAGAACTCCATGGTAACTGCGTGGCTCGTCAATTCCATGAAACCCACAATTGGAAAAACTTACTTGTTATTGCCAACCGCGAAGGAAGTCTGGGAAGCCGTAAGAGAGATGTATTCCAATGCTGAAATTTTTTCCCAGATTTTTGAAATTAAATCCAGGTTGTGGCAAACCAAGCAGGGAGAACGCGAGATAATTGATTATTACTTGAAAATGACGGCGTCATAGCAAGAGCTCGACTCGAGTTTTGAGGAAAAATGGAAGTGCCCAGAAGACAATGTCTACTATTGGAAAAAATTGGAGAACGAAAGAGTATTCAAATTTCTGGCTGGGCTTAATAGTGACTTGGACGACGTTCGCGGTACGATACTCAATCAAAGACCTCTATCGTCATCGCGAGAAGTGTTCGCAGAAGTCCGGAGAGAAGTGAACCAACGAAAGGTGATGATGAACGGGATCTTGTAGCTACTGGAATTGGACTTGAAGCTTCTAGCCTAAATGTGATGGGAACTGGGCCTCCAAATTTTAAAGGTGGGCCAGCATACATTCACAAGGAGACTGCATTTAATGATGGGCCCATCTACTCTAATATTGGGTCTCGAGGAATGAGCCTATATTCAAAAGGGTCAGCTAGTGGGTCAAACTCAAAACAACAAAAAAGTCGACCTTGGTGTGAACACTGCCGGAAAACAGGACATAAGGAGGATACGTGTTGGAATCTACACGGAAATCCAGCAGATTGGAAACCGAGGCGAAATAGCAGAAATCGAGGATATCAAGCGTCTATTGATTATCCAACTAAGAAATCCAAAGAGTCCAGTGGGGCCTTTAATTCTGAACAAATGGAGCAACTTTACAAAATGTTTTCGAGCCTTCAACCGTCAAGTCAAGCTGCTAAATATAACCTTTCAGGCTCTCTAGCTCACAGTGGTAATTTTTTGAGAGCCTTAAAATCCACTGCTCAATCTAAAACGCCCTGGATCATTGACTCGGGAGCCTCTGATCACATGATGGACTCCTACCACCTATAATCTTCATGGAAAATGATAGTGTGCCAGAAGGGGGGTTACCGAATGGTTTACCCACCCTCACAAAAGCGCGGGCCCCATGTATTTTCAAAAAATGTCTGCTCGTGTTCCCCCCCCCCAATGTGAGTGGGGTGTAAAAGATCTAGTAAAAAATTTGGTAAGTGTAGCATGGCTCTTCTCTTCATATACAACATGTGCTAGTAACATTAAGGTTAAAATTGCCGATTGTTTCCTATCGACCGTTGGAGGAAAAGGGAGTGTGCAAATTTCTGATTTTATAACTTTAGAACCAGTCCTTCATGTTCCAAATCTATCATGTAATTTACTATCTGTAAGCCAGTTAACAAAAAATTCCAATTGCTCCGCTAAATTTTTTCCATCTCACTGTATTTTTCAAGACCTATCGTCGGGGAAGACGATTGACAGTGCTAAGGAAAGTGAAGGACTCTACTACTTTGACGAGGCTGATGTGAGTAACCAGTGTCAATTTAAAATTTTTGATTTTGCGTTTGTTCCTAGAGATAGTGACATTATGTTATACCATTTTAGAATAGGTCACCCGAACTTCCAATACTTGAAACGTGTATTCCCCTCTATTTTCATGAATAAAACTCTAGTTCATTTTCAATGGGAAATCTGTGAGATAGCAAAACATCAACGAACGTCGTTTCCAAAATCCATATACAAACCATCAAAATCATTCACAACAATTCACAGTGTTGTATGGGGCCCTCACGAGTCCCAAATCGTACCCACACAAAATGGTTTGTTACTTTTATTGATGACCATACTCGAATTTGTTGAGTCTACCTACTAAAAGATAAATCTGATGTTCGCTCCATGTTCATCAGCCTCCATTCCATGTTCCAAACGCAATTCCGAACACAGATTTAAATTTTACATAATGATAATGGCATAGAATACTTTAATACCATTATGGGTAACTTTCTTCAGACACATGTAATAATACATCAAAGCTCATGTATCGACACTCCTCAACAAAATGGGATTGCCGAACACAAAAATAGACATCTTCTAGAAGTTGCCTATGCCTTAGTGTTTACTATGAACATGTCTAAGATGTTTTGGGGGGACGTTATCCTTACATCCACATATTTAATCAATCGAATACCTAGTCGAGTCCTAAACTTTGAGACACCACTCCAAACACTTCAAAAAAATTTCCCAACGTCTCGACTCAGATCAAATATTTCCCTAAGAGTATTTGGGTGCACTACATTCGTTCATATTCACTTTCATCACAGAAGTAAACTTGATCCCGAGCTATTAAATGCATCCTGATTGGATACTCTCCTACACAAAAAGGCTAAAAATGCTATAATCCTTCCACGAAAAAGATTTTTGTCAATCTTGATGTTACTTTCTTCGAAAACACTCCTTACTTTAACAACACCTCTCTTCAGTGGGAGACCTTACATGAAGATCGGTTCTTTGACTTTAGCCTGTCCCCTCCAAAATCGGCATGCTTGGATGCAAACCAAGTGATACACCAGTGGATGTAGGAAAGAAAGTTGAAGATGGAGGAAAGCCAGTAGAAATTGACAGATATCAGAGACTGGTTGGAAAACTAATCTATCTATCACATACTAGACCTGACATCACATTTGCAGTTAGCATGGTAATTGGTAAGTCAACACATGCATTCTCCGAAGGAAAGTCACCTAGAAGCAGTCTATAAGATACTCAGATATCTCAAGGGATCCGCAAGAAAGGGGTTACTCTTCAAAAGGAGTGAAAAGAAAGAAGTATAAGTTTTCACAGATGCAGACTGGGCAGGGTAGATAGAAGATGGGAGGTCTACTACTGGTTATTGTACCTTTGTATGGAAAAATTTAGTGACATGGAGAAGTAAAAAACAGAATGTAGTAGCTAGAAGTAATGTAGAAGCCGAGTTCAAAGCTGCTGCATAGGGAATATGCGAGGGATTGTGGTTGAGAAAGCTTTTGGAAGAACTACACGCCACTATAAAGTTGCCAATCAAGTTCTACTGTGATAATAAAGTAGCAATCAGCATTTCTCTTAATCCAGTTAGCATGACCGAACTAAACATGTAGAGGTAGATAAACACTTTATTAAGGAAAATGTTGAGGAATGAACTATTTGCATGACTTATATCCCTACACAAGCACAGATTGCAGACGTTTTCACCAAAGGACTACCTAGATAGAAATTCGATAATTTCATTTTCAAGTTGGATATGATTAACATCTATGATCCAACATGAGGGGGAATGACGAAATCCCCAATTGATTTAGAGAAGTTTGATTTTGATTTTAGTTATCATAGATAGAATATTATGATTGTTAGAGATTGTAGGAGAGTTATTTTCCTTTTCTATGTAGTCTTTTTGTATTATAAATAGAACTATTTCATTGTACATTGTATGTGAGGAAAATAATAAAAGATATTTTTCCTACTCTCGTTGTTCATCTTCTATAGTTTCATTCTATCAAGACATTAGACACGAACTCATCATTGGATGTGCAACACCTAGGATTTTAATCTGCTGTTACAGGTGACTATTGCCGAATGATAAATATACCCTATGTACCTCAGCCAGGTTCTAGGACCTCGTACAAAAATTTTAAGGCAGTCAATGTTGAGAACATTATAAATGCCAGAGTAATGTTTTATAACATGCTCAATCTTTTTCTCCCAGATCCACAAAGAGATAATATTTGGTAAGAACAGTTCTCCCTGCTTCCTTAACTAGTTTAAAAACTCGATGGCTTTCTCATTAGTCGTCCGATGCACTCTCAGTTCGTTTAACAGTGTGCATCTGGGAGGACGCTGATATCTATAGACAAAAACTAATGTGATGGTGTCACAAACTAAGTATATAAAATCCATAGACTTCTCCACATAGGAAAAGGAGAGTAAGAAAGAAAGTATTACAGTTCCCTAAATTATCATGCTATACGATGAATCCAGTGGATGGTTGGTGAGCAGTCCTTCCCAAATGCTGCAAGTTATATTCTGAGTAAATATCCATTCCTTTCCCAGAACCACTAAAAAAAATAGGCACTAATGACAGTTGGACTAAGAAAATTGATCAATACAATTCTAACGGTGGGGTACTTGTATGGGTATGTTAGTATGTGTGTACAGCTGGCAACATCAATTTTCTTTATAGTCATGTCTTGTGAGTTCAGATACTGGACTCCTTTAGTTGTTTATGCATATACTGCTTCCTCTATCTTCTAATGTGCATTTTGATAAATCGACGCGATTCCTTTATGCATATTAGTTTAACATATAAAATGAGAAAACCTGTGACTTGAAATCAAATGAATTTTCTTTTCATAAAAGAAATCCCCCTCCCCTGCTCCCAGGTTTATTTCTGGCTTGGATGTTTCTCTATGATTGTCCTGGTTTTTCCTGAAAACTCTAGAGGCAAAAGCACCAGGCCAAAAGCATGATGACCATGGAGGGGTGAACTTGCAAATCTTTTTCCTTAAAAACCTCAGAATCATTAGTCCCATTTTTCTTTTGAACCCTTAACATCCTGAGGATCTCTTGCTGACTTTGCTGCTAAATCCTCCACCAGCCTTTCTATGTACTGATACTTTCCCTTTCTCAGTGTGATAAATAAAGTTACCTAAGATAAAAAAATTTCCAAGCTGTGTGCATCATCATCTCCAAAGGGCTTCTTCTTTATAGACAAGTCAAATAAATTCAGTTCTGCCATTTGCTTAACTCAGTACAAACATTAGACTTGATAGTATCTTATGCTCATGAAAATATACCTTTTAAAAAGTAGGGATTGTCCGGATCAGGCGTGTTTCCAGATAATGAATCTAGGAGCTCTCTAAGTGCCAGTATTTCTGTCAAAATGTTTTCAGTGGAGGATATTGATAATTTTGGGTTTGGAAGCTCGTTTCAATTTAATATAATGCATGCAGTGCAGGAGGTTTGATAACCATCAGATCTAAAATATGCAGGCTAATAAATCTACTTATGACTTTCCATTATTTGCTAATTAATTTATAGGTTAATTGTCAAATGTTTGATGTTTGATATTCTGGAAATTCATTCTGATGTTACAAACTGTCCAAGTATGTGAAGAAGCATAACAGATGAAAACAATCAAGTGGTAATGTGATGTGGAAGTTAACATCAGCAGTGCTAAAACATTGATTTTCTTATGTAAACCAGAACTTCATAACCTAAGGGGTCCCCATGCTTAAATCTGTTATATTAATAGTCTAGCGTCCCCTGTTTGATGTGGACATGAGTAGCGTGTAGATTCTGCCGTTTCTGGCCGATAAAGAGAAAATAGTTTGACTGTGGTTTTGCGTGAGCTCCACTTCAATAGCTCAGACACTTATGGCTGGGTTTAGTTAAAAGTTAAAAGAGATTGCGTCATCAGTCAAAGGTTTCTTGAAAAACCCAAATATTAACATTTTAAAAAATTGGACTTGTGTATCTGATGTTTTTGTAATCTTATCCTCCGTTTGGTAATAATTTAGAGATGGTTTCAATTTATAAATAGATAGAAATGAATGATAGATAAGTGGATATTACTTGTATTTGAAAATGAAATTTGACCATTTACAAATGATAAATAATTTTTGCCAAATGGAGGCTTATATGGTTAATGTGTCACAAAACCAAAATCAGTCGGCAAACCAATGGAAATTTAGCATTATGCATTGATACAGTCGAGGCTGCCACTTGCTTTGTATATTAATAGATAGCTTCTTGTAAAGTTCTCACAGATGATTTCTCCAGTTTACTTCAAGCAATTCAATTCTAAACTCTTATCTATGGCAATTGCATTTGCAGTTCATTTTTGTTGCTGCTGCAAAGTACTGTGTTGATATTGCAACACATCAACATGGATGCTGTGTTCTGCAACGCTGCATCAGCCATTCAACTGGAGAACATTGGGAGAACTTGGTTACAGAAATTTCTGCAAATGGGCTTCTACTTGCTCAAGATGCATATGGGTAAATTGTATTCAAACAGATACTGATTATCTATTTTTAGTTTTCATCCAGTTACATTTGCTGGTATAGTTTATACTGTTCTTGAAATAAAGTGTGATGGTTTTTGCTTCAACATTTTTTCATTACCTGGTGGCTTATCATAGTTGCAATCACAAAAACCAGAACCTTTAGCTCTTTGCCTTTGGATGCCTAATTGATAATGCTCATCATGTACAAGTTTCGGAATTCTTATTGAAGAGAGATACTTTAGTTTGAACTTTCAAGTGTTCTTAATACATCCTTGCCAATTCTGAGGCAAGGTGGTTTCCAAATTTATTTTTATTTTCCAGATCCTTATTTTTGTTGAATTAGTCAATCGTCATTGAGAGGATTTGCCAACTATAAGCCTTCCTAAGTTCAGGTGTGCTTTTAGCATTATCTAATACATACCATGTTCTTGGATCAAGCTTGAAGTGACATTCAGGCTAAGTTTTCACTCCAGAGTCTATTTTATTTTGAGCGTGATAGCTAATTTTTTTGTAATCCATGATTTTGGAATGGGTAATCTCTTATATTTCACTTACTTCTTTGTTTTTTTCTTTTTTTTGTCTCTAGATAATTGTTCAATTAACTATCTTAATTTCATCAAATTCATTAATGGCAAAAACTGTGTTCTAGATTTTCTACAAGTTATGCATTTCTTCTCTACCGATGTAGAGGTTGATTTTGTTATTCTTTCACTGTGTTTTTACCTGAAGACGCGATTTAATATTTGCTGCAGAAATTATGTTGTTCAATTTATTTTGGAGCTCAAGATCCCATCTGTCACATCCAAATTGACATCTCAGTTTGAGGGTAACTATGTACATCTCTCTACCCAAAAATTTAGTAGCCATGTCGTTGAGAAATGTCTTGTGGTATGTAATGGTGAATACCGGTCAAAGATCATCCATGAATTGCTCACTGCAACTTATTTTGAGCAGTTGCTTCATGATCCACATGCAAATTATGTTGTTCAAACAGCTCTCCAGGTTTCTGAGGTACTCTGTCAATGGTCTATTAAATCTCATCATTTGATCTTGAGCAAACTTTCTTTTTCAGAATATATTATATCAAAACTTTCAGTATTATCCAGAATAGGAAACATGAAGCACACAATAGGTTGCAACTAACAGGCTAAGAGAACTTTTTTGCTTAATGACCATGTGATATATCGACCGAAAACTTCTCAAAACCAACAACTTAAGTTTTAAGAACTTGTTTTAGTCACTTGTAATACCCTCGTAATTTGAAAATTGAGCATGTCATCCTTCACCCACGAATCTATTGCTGAAAGTTTGATCTCCTGACCGGTAGCTTTCTTTATTTGTTATACAATCAGGGTCCGCTTCATAATTCTTTGGTTGATGCAATTGAGTCTCACAAGGCAATTTCAGGTCACAGTCCCTATTCCAAGAGGATTTTCTCTCACAAGCTTTTGAAGAAGTGATGTATAGTCTTCGTCCTGGTAAGAAATTATGTTGTTCTTCGTCATCGCTATCTAGCGCATATGTCGAAGCTGGTTCTTCGTCTTTTCTCAAGTGCTGGTGCCCGGATCATTTGTCAATTTTGCTTACTCAGGCTTTTGCTTCCCTCCAGAGTGTAAAGGATAGGCAACTGTGCTTTTAGTTGAATGAAATAGACTTTAAATTTAGTAACTTTTGCCGTCAATGTAATGTACCTTCTGGATAATTTTTATCTCCTATCTTGTGGGATTTACGCTGTGGATGTACATGATGTTCTTTTGCAGTCTGCGTTGACGCAGTTTGAATGTTTGACTAATAGTAGTCGCTTTTTTTGCACTTGGCCATGATAAGTAAGCATCATTTTTAGGTTTTCCTTTTTCTTATATACAATGATTCAATCATCATACTACTTAAAGTTTCTCGTGCATGTTTGGAAGCCAACATTATGGATAGTAGTTGCTGTTTCTTCCTTAAAACAATAGAGGTATATCCTTTAATTATGTTAACTTACACAATCTAGATATAAAATTTAATAGAAGTTCATAAAATTCCTTTAAGTAACTTGATCTTTAAGGAAAAGAGAATACGAGACTAAGGAACTTAAGAAACTTCATGTTAAAAAGTGTGTTTTGAAGTGGATTTGCCAAACTTGATCTATATAATGTCATTTTGGATGACTTTGCTTGAATAATACTCGAAAATTCAACTTTGGTAAGAGGTCGAATTTGAGGACTATAAAAAGGTCATTCTAGACCCTTCGTTTAACCAAACATTACACCTAATGTCTTTCACCTTATATGTCTTTCGATCTCTTTTTCTCGACATGATCACTTCGAAGTATTGCCCATCGGTAATAGCCCAAGGCAAAAGAGGGAGAGAGATGGACATGATCACTTCGGAGTATGTCCAGGTTGATTTCATTTTAACCTTATGATCAGGGTTCAGTAATTGTTGGACACGTCGATGTACAAATTATTTAGGAGTCTATTTTCAGGGATTAGCAGCAAGGTAGCCCCGTTTTAGGTTCAAATTTATCTTACCAATAAGAGGATGGGGGCAAGTCAAAACTCAATTGTAAACTTGGCGTTTAACAATTTGACCCAATTTTGTGGTAGCCCAATTCTATTATATATGGGCCCTATGATGCACCCATTACTATTTGTGAGATGGCTAGCCCATTGGAGTGCAACCCGATAGCCCGATTCATTACTTATCTCAAGGGTTGAGATTGTGACATATGGTTGAGCTGCGACCGTTGGATGCTTCTATCGTTTGATATTATTTTTGGCCAGTCTCTTCATTTCTCTCAGACGTTCAAGATAGTTCTAGGGTTTACTCTTTTGGCTCTCTCGTTTTCTCTCTCTCTGAAAACCTTTGATTTTCGCCTGTAATCTTTGATCTAGATGTTTCTTGGTGGGATCTAATGTTTGATTAAAACTTAGGTTGGTTTTCTGTTCTTCGGTGGGCAGTAACCTTTGGTTACTTGGTGTAATCGTTTTTCTGAGTGTTCTATGAGAGATTTCTGGGTCTGAGGGCTGATCTTTTGTGGATCTGTTGTATTGTAACCTTGATCTTGATATATTGTTGGTTTCTAGTGGATTGGAGCGTTAGTCACTTCGGTGAATACTCAACGGGTGACAAGCCTTAATTTTGGGGTAAACATCTAGGTCTTATGGCGAAAAATCCTNTTTGTGTTCATCTTTGTTTCTGTATTACTTTGTGTTTTGGGGCCTGTATAATTTCTACAGTGGTATCAGAGCACTTCGATCTTCCTATCTGAAACTATTTCTTGCTGTTCTTGGTGAACGTGTTTCCTGATCTTAAAGATCCTTTACCAGAAATTGTCTGGTTTGCATCCTTGGCAGATTGGTAAAATAGTTCTGGTTTTCACTATTTTACATTCCTTATCAGAGGACTTTGGCAACGAGTTTCTAATCCTATATTGTTATTTTTGAACAATAATTTGGATCTCTTGGTTGAATCTTCCTGAATCTTTCTTTGTCCAGGGTTTCTTCTGAAAACCCTAGAATTTGAGGGGACTGGGATTAACGGTTCTTCAAGATTACTTGAAATTCATTACTCTTATATGTCGCCTATTATTGTTGACTGATTAAGTTTGTGTTAACTTGTTACATGTCTAACATATTATTTTGAACTGTGAACACTTGCGAGATATACATAAACTTTGCATCATTTATTTTATTTGTGGGTGTCTCATTAGTTTTTCTGTGTGCTCTTCCTGCACTGCATCATACTTTACTGCCATGCAATGAGAATGAATCATCTACTTCAGATGCAACTTACTCGTCAATGTCTTCGTCATGCACAGTTGCTCCAGTTTTAACCACAATGCAGCAGTTGATTTCTCCTTAATCACGTCCTGAAGAATGTTGTTAGAGAGATGAAGATGAATCATAGACAACGCCTTCCGATCCTTCTGTTGCTTCTCCTCTGTTGTCCAAGTTGGCATTTGATCAAAACTCAACAGAGCATTTCACCTTTATTTGCCATAGAGAAAACCTTGTATTGCGATCCAAATGTGGAATATTGTACTTCATGGCAGCCATCGAAACTAGAAATCTCAAATAAATTCAACAATCTGCAGCTCTGATACCACTTGTTGGGGACCATTTGAACCCACATGTTGTGAAAAATCGGAAGAGATTAATGGAGCAATATGAATTATTGATCGTTTACCGAACAAGAACAAGAAAAGAAAAAATTGGTAGAGGAACCGATATTTTATTAAACTACCAAGGAGAGAAAATACGATTTCTGCTCTCAAAAACTTTATGAAAAGTCTACTATTTATAGGGATGATATCCAAACCCAAGATGGAAACAAGATAAAACAAATTACGTGAAATAAATGAAAAAATATTTTTTCAATAAAACGCGTGAAATAAAGGAAATAATATTTTTTTCAAATACGTGCATAGAAGGAAAAATATGCCCCTGTTTGAGAGGCATTATTTCTTCAAAAGTAGAAGAAATTGTACCATTTAGCCACTGGTTTTGAATTCTTTGTTTCACACTTGGGCCCACAACATTGCTTCTAACGGTAAGAAAAATCATTCTTGGGTGGAAATAATGCCTCTCAAATAGGTTCTATATTCCCAAAAATTTCAACCTAATTTGGATCACAAAATCCAACATACCGAACTCATAATTGTCAAAGCTCAACATGTATATAAAATTACTTATTCGAACACAGGAAAAATCGCGGGTTCTATTTTTCTCGAACTTTTAGAGCTTAATCGTAGTAGGTTGCTTTCGTGTAAAATCACAACAAAGTGCAAAAACACAGTAACATTTTGAAAAAAATTACAAGATTACCTACTGTCTATTCTGTAAAAGTGAATTCCTCTCTTCAAATACTCCATCAAGTAAAGCTGTGAAAACAAACTCTCATAGTAATCAATAACGCTGGTACTCACAGAATTGTATGCATTTCAGCATTTCCAGGTACCATTTTAGGCTAAATCATGTGTTCTGTGATTGCATATTTATTACAGATTAATAAAGAAACTGAAAAAAAACTCGTGCTTCAACCTCAAAACAGTTGGTAAACTCGTTAATCCAATCAATTCATTAACTGAGATCTCCTCGGCCCTCTAAATTCTCTTACAGCCACGTGGATTATAGGTTTCCGCGTGCTTTGATTTCAACACGAGTTTCAAAAGCCATATTCAAAATTAAGACAACACATCAAGGGAAGTTATGTCAAAAGATGGCTCTTAAATATTCTTGATAGCACGTGGGAGTCTGTATCCTAATACGCAACCAGAAGTTCCCTGTTTAGGATAAGAAAACATCGCCACCACCCTCATAACTTTCTTCATCGACAAGCCTTTTCGGGGGTTATTCATTTCAAATTTGGTATCTGCAGACCTGAAACTCATTCACCAATCCCTCGTTGCCACGAGAGAAATTAAACAGTATAATTAGTGTACAATTATAATCTAAATACTGTATCAAAGAGAGGAAAAGTGTCTCAAGTAAAAGTGTGCAGAATTAAGATTAATGTATCTGAACTTGTTTTCTAATGCATGCATGTGGGGTTTCGTTTTAAAATTTTATATTTGCATGTGCTTATGAAGTATAATTCAAAGATCTTTACCATCAATTCTCTTGCTCCCTACCCCCGCCCCCCGCCACCCCGTTCCACATCCTTCTCAGTTTCTTCTGATAAACATCACGTTGTCAACAATTTCAGCTGGATACTGTGATTCACTGTTGGAGTTCATGGGCTAAACTTTGTTGAATTTGTATAAATATGTATGGCTCGAACTCTTTTGATAAAGTAACTGCTCACACTTGTAGTTTAAATTTGAAGTTTTAAGAAATTATGGGCAATTCCACAATACAGGCAAAGGAAGCAGGGAACAAAAGAACTCCAAAGGGGTACTTTGTGGTTTATGTGGGCGAAGAAGTACAGAGATTTGTGATTCCCACCTCGTATTTGAAGAATCCTAAGTTCCAAATTCTGCTTCAAGAGGCTGCAGAGGTTTATGGATATCATAACCAGAAAGGCATCGCGTTACCGTGCGACTTGTCAACTTTTCGTCGAGTCGTAAACTTCAAAGGAAAGTGATTCCTACATGCTGATCAATGATCAAAGTTACAACAGTAGGAATTTTTCAATTTTATTTGTAATTTCAATAGTGAAAGGTCTTCTAACACAAGAATATATGAACTCGAAATCTCACTCATCAAATTTCATAGCGAAAGACGCACACAGTTTTTGGTTAAGGGACTTGATCATTAGTTTGAAAAAAGGTGAATAAATGGCAGTATATTAATTAAATACATAGACTAGTAGAAATGTTAAAAATAAAATAGAGGTCGTTTTTTTAAATGATTATTGAAATAGACAAGGTGGTGTTATGTCAAAATATTTTTAATTATTATTTTAGACTATAAGTACTCGTAGCACTTGTTAGGAATATTGGGTCTAACTCCACGTAATAAAACCGGCTTATTAGGGGAGGATTGCCCTCACCTTATTAAGTGGATCATTTATATTTTCCCAAACAATGTGGGATTCTAATATGCCCCCTCACGCACAGCGTGGACCATGCCAAACAACTGTGAACAAATCGATATTGGGTGGCACCCAACATTGCATAATTGGGCCTAGCTCTGATACCATGTTAGGAATATTGGGTCTAACTCCACCTAATAAAACCGGCTTATTAGGGGAGGATTACCCTCACCTTATTAAGTGGATCATTTATATTTTCCCAAACAATGTGGGATTCTAATAGCACTAGCAACAAGGGAAATGTCTTTATTATGGCTAAACCTACTTATGAGTAATTTTTTAAGCTTAGTCAAACATGCACTAACTACACGCTTGTTTGATGTAGATTTTAATAAATAAAGCTGATATTGATGGATCCCACGAAACATATGATTATAACGATATCGTTGAATTTAGGCAAAAATAATCATTTATTCTTGATATAATATACATGTGAACATCTAAACAATATTTTTGCTCAAATTAAAGATTTTTTTTTTTTTATTTCTTGGTAATTCTGCTACTGCATTCCAACCATATGTGCCAACTGGTATTTCTCGTCGTGATTCTTGTAAACTTAATCACGCGACTTTTTAAAAATAATCGGATTGAATAGATAGGATCATCTTCAAAGTAGGAGTGCACTTCTCAATGAGCTCTTCATTCATGAATGGTACGTGTCCATGAAATCAAAAAAGAGGAAGATAAGAATACCTAAATACATACAAGTGCAAAAATTAGTGTCGACTTTGATTTAGCTTAGCATCGAGTTAAAGATCCTCTACTAAATTTCATCAAGAATGTCAAAAAAAAAAAAGGTTTTAACCCTTGTTTGAGCCCCGTTTTAAAAGAAAAATGCATTTTTGAATAGTGGTTTTTAGAAAATGTGTGGTTAAATTTATATTTTATTTACGTATAATATTATTTCATTGAAGAATGTATAATTGAAAATGAATTTTGAAAAAATGGATTTCGAACAACCCCTAATATTTCGAAGGAGGTAACCTCGAAAGCTAAAAAATTAGAAATTGGACTTGCAAAGAATAAAGAAGACTATCGATATAAAAAAAAAAAAAAGTAGACCTGTGCCCAAAAATGGCAACCCGGACCGAATGGGGTTGGTTTAGGTATACATTCTGGTCTGTTAGGGACGATTTTTAAAAAAATTAAAATTAATGTAGATCGAGTCAGTTTATGGGTCAAACCATGGCAGCAAAATTCCACTAAGAAGTTCTTAGATATTCTTTTTTCTTTAATTTTTGTTATTCTTCTTTTTTTGATTTGGGAAAAATAGGTTTTATGTTGGGATTCTGGTACCAAGAAGTGGTGTTACTTTCATGACCGTGTTGATCTACTTCAGTGTGGGGTTGGAGAATAGAAATATTAAATGGTGGGTGCTGATGATGTTGAGAATTCACAGGGTGGTTTTTGAATCTTGGGTTGGAACTTTTTAATTTAATATTACGTTTTCTCGTTCTTTGTTTTTGGGGACGCTTGATAATTTTATTGTTAAAATTGAACAAAAAATCGAAAAGTAAGTGACCCGGACTGAATCGACTCAAACCAGTTCTAGTCGGGTCGATTCTAGATCATGAGTTGTTTCGGATTAGTTTTAGAGAGTCTCCAAAATCGGCATATCAGCTCGAGTTCAAGCCAAAATCGACCCTACCCTACCCGTTGCCCAGCCCTATAAAAAGTAAGTGACCCGACCATTCTTTCTAAAAAGTAATTTCCTACAAAAAAAAAAAAAAAAAAATCAAAAAGTCATTATACCACCCTATATTCCAACAAGTAGGAAAAGTGTCCCTATCAAAAACCAAATTTCCACCATTATTAACCCTTGCTGTCACCACCAAGTAAAACAGAACAATACTCCAAAAGCCCAACTAAATGTCCGTAGCCCAATTTGCAGACGGCCCGTTTTGGGCCGAACACGTGTCCATCTTTCAAAGCCCCAAGAAAACGTGGACCAATAGGATCGAGTAAACAGATAGTATCTCGACCCGCCCTCTCGTCCACGAATTTTGATGCCCACCATTGTTGGCCGCCTTCCTTTTGATTTTGTATACACGTGGCAACACGTCCGTGGCTCTTCTTTTTTATACAGTAAATCAATAAAATATTCCAAAAAAAAATATTATCCCCTGGCATTGGCAACTCGCAAAAGATTTCTCTCTCTATATCGTTCTCTCTAGAACCTCCGAGATTTGTCTCCCAGGAGATCTGATTTAGGGTTTTTTGGTTGCTTTGTGAAGTGAACTCATCATTTCCGGTTAACTGTTACGACTGATCAGCGTTTTCTTATTTTCTGGTGAGTTTTCCGTCAAAGTTTTTGTTGTAAAGTATTGTTTGTACTTTAAATGTTTTTTCTTTCCCGTTTGTTGTGTAGATTGATTGATTCATTTTCTGGATCAAGATTTGTTTGATTGCTGAGAAACTGGAGAAAAGGAAACGATTTAATCGTTGAGATGAATTTTGTTAATTGTATAATACTTGAAATTAAATTTTTTTTTTCCTGCGTTAAATTTTTTCTACTATTGTTAACTTTCTTGTGGAGAAGTTTTAATTTTTTGGTATATTTTATCAAAAATTTTATGCCTTCTTCAAAAATTAAAATTTGGAAGCCTGAGCTTGATTTAGTCTTTTAGTTTAGTTGAGATTTCCTTGATATTGTTTTTTCTGCTTGTGTTTTTTAGTAGATATCCTTTGTTCTAAATATTTTGGTGTGATCTTTGTTTTTGTTGACTTGGAAAATGGAGGCGAACGAAAGATTTGGATTCTAAACATGAAGAGAATTGCATACAGTTTGAGTGCAGGCTGAAGACTTGAAGGAATGTCAGACTTGTGCATGTACCAGGTGATTTTTTTTTTTTTTTTTTT